GGGAAGACGCCATGGATAAACCTTGAAGACGAAGACAGTAGTTGGGAGAAAATATCGGGGAAATAAGGAAGTGGGAACGTTAGATTAGGTTTAGGATATTTTTAAATTTTTTTTTAATTCTTTTATATAATAATAAATTAGAAAAACAAAAGAAAAAAATAAAATAAGGGTAATATAGTCATTTTAGGTCTATCAGGGACCCAACGTACAACAAAAGTACATTTTAGGGACCGTTCGAGTTAAAAAAAAGTCTTAGGGACCAAGCGCGCAGATTGCACCAAAGCACAGGGACTATTCGTGTAATTTACCCAAGAATATAAAATGCAAAAGGAAATAAAAATGATGAAAGGGAAAATGAAGTAAACAATAGATTACCTGGTCCTTAGGCCGCCGTTTGGAGTCCAGCTCACTTTCAATAGAACCAGATGGAGTGCAAGACTCAAATGCATCATGTTGATTTGATTCTCCCTCATCTGCACTACAACTACTGAAGCGGAAGAAGAATCTATGACTCCATTACCAACCATTACTCCGTCTTGAAGGAGAACAGTTGGATTCAAATTAAAATGTTGCAAATTCAAATACCCATCGAATCTTCCAATTCCATTCAGAAGAAATCATTGCAAACATCAAATCTTCCAATTCCATTCAATTGGGAACAAATTAGTACCTTTTGAAAAAGAGAAAGTGAATCCCTAATTAATGAAGCCGCTAAACCAGCGGCCCATGGAGCAGCTGCTGAGAAAAGATAGGGGATTATCCAACTTCTTCCAAAGACCTTTGAATTGAGGATGATTAGATGAGAAATGATGAAAAAGATTGGGTGTCTGAAAACCCTAAAATTGTAATGACATGATTTTTCAAACAAATTTTTCATTTTTAATTCCATAAAACATATGTCTCAACAGTAATCCTCAATTCAAAATCAAACAACAAGTTTTCAAAACAATTATTCGAATCCAGGATCCACAAACATAGCTCCATATCAAAAGTGTGTGTGTACAATCACGCAGGTGCCTTCCCACGATCATCTGGGGTACCTGAAACACATAACACATAACACGGTAAGCACGAATGCTTAGTGAGTTCCTCAAAATACCACATACAACAATTCGCCACTCGAGGCTATACTCTGTATGACCCTCTGGTCAATGTGTCTCAGCGGGACCCTCCAGTCCCGTAGCTCGTTGGACCCTCTGGTCCGGTCTAGCTCGTTGGACCCTCCGGTCCGGTCTGGTTGAGGACCCTCTGGCCTCGTAAATCGTTGGACCCTCCAGTCCGGTCAGAATAGCACATAGCATACATAATCACAAAACACATAATCTCAAGCAAACGCGTATGACCTTCCGGTCCACACATAGATACCACCCTAGGTAATGTATAGTGAGAAGACTCACCTCGGGTAAACTCGAATGATCTCGAACTCGAAACACTGATCTAGCATCCGCCTAATCACATACAAAAAATATATGTACTTAATAATGGCTCTCAAAGGCTACACTAATCCCTTCCTTTGCTCTCTTAGAAGGGAAAAAGACCATTCTACCCCTCCAATGGTCCAAAATTCCACTTGTTGACTAAACCCTAAAAGTTAACGAAAGTCAACCCTAAGGAGTACGCGGCGCGTAACAACTCTGTACGCTGGGCCTACTTGGATGCTATAAAGAATCGGGGACACTCGACCCCTACGCTGCGCGTACTGGGATTACGCCCAGCGTATGCCCAGTTTTCACAATCTTCATGATTTTGTTCTTAATCGGTTAAGACACAAGCTAATATCCCAGATCTGGTCACTCTAATGCCTCTTAATCCATAAAGTCAGTGACTTTACGCCTTTGCATGGCTGTAAAGGTCATCATCATCCAAATCACACCACTTCCTTCACTAAGGAGCTCATATCTCATGCATGGCTCACTCCTAACGTCCAAGATTGGATTTTTATGGATCTATATCACATTATACACTGAATATGGGCAGATCAAGGTCTATGGAGCTCCTTTACTCATAAATTCTCCACCTTTGGGACAAAAACCCTAGAAATGGTCCATAATGCACAAATAAAAAAGGTTGAGAAAGCTCTGAGCTTTTTACCTCCAACTGATGCTCCAACCTCAGAAAGCTCAGATCCAAAGCTTGCCCTCCAACTCTAGCTCCTCCAATAGCACCTCATTCTCTTCAAAAGCACACAAGAACACTTTCAAGCTCAACCACACTCACACAAGCTCTAGAACGAGGGTTAGGGCACATTTAGGGATTTATTCTCTGGAAATGGTGGCTAAAAGTGAGGCCATATCGTTCCTTATATATGGCTCACCCCCACAATTAGGGTTTTAATCTGAACCTAGTACGCCCAGCGTACTGGGTAGCCTCCGCGTCAAGAACACGCTCATGAGTACGCGCAACGTACTCTCCCTTACGCCCAGCGTACTCAAAAGCCATACATTCTTTTCAAGGACTAATTTTGACAACTTGAGGAAAGAAAAGGATCAAAGAGATATACCTGAATTCTGGGATGTTACAAAAAGTGGATAAGATACCTAAGAGTAGAAACATGTGATCGATGGTGGATGATTATGATGGTACTATCCATCTTCTTCCATGTTCTTTACGCTGATTACCAAAGTGATTAATTTCTCGATGCAGTTATCCGAAATCAAACCTCCATTCTCCCATTCCTGGTGATTTACATGTCACTAACTCACTATTTATGAGATTTACCGCCATATATAGATTAGATGAGAGAGAAGGGAGGGAAACGGGGATGTTGGTATGAATCAGTGTTTTTTACCTATAGAAATTTGGTGGGTATGGATACTTGTACCTTCGGTGGAATATGATGGGTGGAAATTGGTTTCCGATGAGAGATGAGTGGAAGAAAGGGTTTTGATGGTGCTGGTGGTGTTATTTCTCCATTTAAGAGAGAGAGAGAGAGAGAGAGAGAGATAGAGAGAGAGAGAGAGAGGGGAGAGAGAGAGAGAGACCTCTTTTTTTTAATTATTAATATAATTATTAAAATAAATAAATAACAATTAGATTTTAAAAAAAAAGTAAAAGAAAAATGAAAAATAAATACCCCAAAGGTATTACAGTCATTTCAGTTTACGGAGGGGCCAAATCCACAATGAAACTAGCTCAAAAGAACCATAAAGCTAAAAAAATCGAGGTTTGGACTAAACCTCATAAAAAATACATACCACAGGTATAATTTTTGTAATTTTGTCTAGAATTTATTATAAGATTTTAATTTTTTGATTTTTGATGATATTTTTTCATAATTAAATTTATTCAAGATTGCAACCAAATGGGTATATAGCTAACTGCTAATTCACTTAAATAATAACAAATAAAAATATATTTTATAAAAATACCAACTCCATTACTATTTATTATCTCTAAATTCAGAGGCCCCTTAAAATCGGAGGCCCTGTGCGACCGCACCACTTAGGTGGTGTTTGTTTTTTGTAAAAAACCTCTTATTGTTGCGCGACACAGCACTTTGTATCCCGCAACAGTTAGTTTTTCCGCAACCTTCGAAGTAGAAAACATCTTCACGTCCTCTGTTTGGGACAACACTTAAGTTACTAATTCTAGCCTCTTCAAACTTAACCCTAAAAAAAACCGGCCTATCACCCTAAAAAAAATAAAAAAACGCCGCATTTTTTCTCTCCCTTGAAGTCGTCTTCCCCAATCGATCGCATCCGTCCTTGGCTGGTGGAGCTTCCTTCCCACCGGCGTTCCATCCTCTCCAACGTTCCCTTCCTCATGGTCGCCCTCTCCTTCCGGTCGTCGGCGCCGGTCTTAATATCTTTAAGGTATTTTTTTTTTTTTTTTTTGTATTTTTGCTGAAACGAAATTCTGCCATGGTTAATCTTCAATTTTTCGTTTTTTTATTGCTGGAGCAACTTCGATTTTCCTGCTTCATCTTAAGTTTTTGATTTTTCTTGTTAAGTCGTTGTTGATATCTTTGTTGTTGATGAATCTTCATGCTAATGTTATCAAAATCTTTGATGATAGTGTTTTTTATTGTGTTGAAATGTCATACATTTATGCTTAAATGTCATATTTTGCTGATATTTTGTTGAATTATTATTGAAATGTTGTTAAAATGTTGCTGAAATTCTGTCATGGTATTAAAAAATTATTTTCGGTTTATCAAAATCAATTTATTTTAATTTTTTAATATCTGCAGCAGCCTAAAAAAACAAACACATTTCTTATTACAGTCTGTAGCCGTTTGGTCAACCTCTTCTGCTGCAGAGGGTTGCAGAGGTGGTCCGCAGACTTTATGAATTTTTGATTCGAAAAAAAAACAACACCTTACACACACCAGGCTGCCACCGACAATGATACAAGTGGCCTAACTATCTACGAATAGTGTCAAATATGGAGTTTACTACCATTCTAGAATTATTAATTTCAAACGTTCAACCGCGTTGTCATAATGCATTACATATAATCTCTAACATCGATTCACCTATTAATGTAATTTGCACACTAAACGACATATTTTTCGATCAACTACATTGTATTTTTCTTTCAAAATGTTTTTAGGACTGCTCATTCTTGTTAATAACAGTTTACATCAATAGAATTAGTTTGTAATGAAATTTAACTAAATGTAATTAGTTATATATTTGTTTATTAGAATGATAATAGTAAGCGTGAATAGACGAAAAGTTATTATTATCATGCAACAAACCATTAGTACTAATCTTAGTATTAGTATTAAACGAATATTTTTCCATTATGCAGGAGAAGCAACTCTTATAAGCAATTTAATAACGAAACCGTTATTTGTTGTGTCATTGTAACATATTACCATCATCTCCTGCGTTTCGGCCCCTTTATACTAGTTTCCTGCTACGAGTCCCTTTATAAAGAACATTGGGTTTCAAGGTTTAAGTTTCTCTTAATTCTAAATCTTTAATCATGTTCTCTCAAGGCAAACCAAATAAGAACATATTGAATATGAATATTATATATGCCACAATCATCACATCTTAATTCCATACATCCTTCTTCCTTGAGTCTTTGAGCTTTCCTCTTTTGCGAATCGCAAGACAGACACCCAACCACCAAGCTTCAATGACATACTTTGGTAGCAATCTCGCGAGAGCCCACAAAAGTGAGTGTGGCCAATAAGGTGTGCATTGTGGTTCGTAACCAATACAACGTATGGCTGCTTGAGCATAACTATCTGTTGATGCAACAAAGAAGGATGACCTTCTAAGTGCAGACATCTTCGTGGCCACATATAAAGGCACCTATTTTACATTTTATGCACAAGACAACTAATGTTACTATGTCAATAGGTCATCAAGGACCAACTGGGTTCGTGAATTGTCCAACATGTAAATCGGTTGTGGTCGTCAAGCATTGTGTATGCTAACACAATGTCAAACCAAATGGAATTTTGTTTAATTTTAAAAGATTAGCATACCTGACATTGCACATCGATACCACTTTTCTTGTATTCGGCATATAGACATCTTGAAAATTGATCGATGTATCTGAAATATAAAACAAAACCAATAAATCTTAAAGATGAATAACACTTGCACTCATCGTGACCCTAATTAGTCCTTTTATGGTCTGATTATTGTGTTCACGAATTAGGCATGATCTCATTAAAGCCCATCTGGGTTGGGATTGGTTTCGCCTTCAAAGAAATTATATGATGTAACATTTTTTCAACAAGTTTTGAATAATGTTTAATAGTTGTTAGTATGATGTTTAATATTTTTATATAGCATTGGGTGTATGTTATTTAACATTTTGGTTTAATATCTAGTAACTACTCATTCAATTTATTTTGATGATGTTTTAATATCATGCAACACATGTTACATTAGTTGATAACTATTAACAAGTTTAAAGTTTTTAGGAACACATCATTTAGTTTTTTGTTGTTTTTGCTGGTAAAAATATACAAAAAATCCAAAAATAAAATAATAAAAAGTTTAGCAAAACCGATCAACCGGACTTGATCTGAAGCCTGGCCCAATTGGTATCGTGCTCAGTCTTAACAGGTTCCAAGGGCTTTCTTTTAAAAGGATTTGGTTTAACCAATATCATTTTTAACGAGATTAGTAGATAAAAATTAGCATGAAAACGGGATATTCATTTCTATTTCAAATTTAGATCCAAGATTCGTACGTTTTGACTTCTTTCGGGAAACATGAAAACACATTATACAATGTGCAAAACATGTTTTTTTATAGGTAGATACATAAGAGGGCAGGAGTAGAATAATAATAATATGGGTATTAACAAATATATTTTTTTTGGAATTTTTTAAGTAAAGAAAACAAAGGGTTAAAATTTGTTATAATATTACTCTTACTCTAAGAAAAAAAATACAATGATCAAGCAAAAAAATGCACAGGCTCCACTATAAGCAATAACATAAACAATCAAAATTTAAGATATGTTTTGCGAACTAGCTTAAAGACTTGATGTTAACTGAAAAACTAACTCTTAACTGATAAAAAAAATGATGTGTGGTGAAACTAACTCATAAGGTAGGTGGAATATGTAAAATGATATAAAAATGTATGTAAAAGATTGAGTTTTTCTATAATTCATAAAAGGGTATATTTAGAAGAATTTTGCAAAAGCTTAATAAATTCGTTGAAACGTTAGTTTGAATAGATTTTTGAAAACTAGCTTTTAAGTGAACTTATTGTTAGCCTAATAAAATTTTGGGATTTATCTTGTATTGGGTTTTATGATTGGGCCTTTTAGTGAGTAACCCTAATTAGCTAGTCTATATATTATGTCTTTCCTTTTCATTGTATTTGTACTTCTCTTTGATAATAATACGAAACCCTAGCCGTTATATGTTTTTCACTTCTTTGTTTACATGGTTTCAAAGCTCGGTTGATCATCGATACTTTCGTTTTGGGGGCGAGTTGTAGAAGGCACGATAGTATTCATCGACACTGTTCATCGACACTATTCATCGAAGGTATTGTTCATCGAAGTTACTATTCATTGAAGTTACTATTCATCAACAACTATTCACGTATTGTGTGCAATTTTGGGTATGGTTTTCTTGCTCGTTTCTATATTCAGTTTGATTTGATTTGTTTGTTTCAATGACTTTGAGGGTTTCATTTCGTATGTTGGTTTTGTTGATTTGAGATCTTGATGGTTGCTGCTGGTATTCGTATTTGTTGTTGTTTTGGTTATTCTCCTATGACTGATATTGGAAATATGGCCCCGAGAGATGATTCACTTCAGTCCATTAGTATCCAACTCGATGGCAAGAACTATGCCTATTGGAGTTATGTTATGAAGAATTTCTTGCGAGGCAAAACTATGTGGGGGATTATTATAGGTGACAGGAAGAAACCAACAGACGAGAATGTTGATAATTATGCAACCTTACTGGATTCATGGGAGACTGATAACTCCAAGATCATTACTTCGATTAATAACTCTGATATCTAGTCTATTGGTACTCAGTTGGCAAGGTATGACACAACAAATGAGGTTTAGGATCACTTGGTTAGGCTCTATACTTAGTCTAACTTTGCTAAGCAGTATCAGTTAGAGTTTGATATTCGAGTCCTCCAACAGAACAATCTCAGTGTTCAAGAATTTTATGCAGCTATGTCCGATTTGTGGGATCAGTTGGCTCTTACAGAACCTGATGTGTTGAAGGCTTTTAAGCCTTATATTGATAGAAGGGAAGAGCCACGTTTGGTTCAGTTTTTGATGGAATTACGTTCTGTGACAACCCGAAATTTTCATTTGTATAAACTCTACAGTCAAGCACTACAAATATTAATCAAATTCATTTCAGTACATTTTTGGCCGGTTTAAAGTCCGTGTGGGTGTTTTATTTTAATTTCCGTCAAACGAACAAATAAATGGAAGTATCTTTTAGGAGTGTTGTGTAACAAACAATCAAACAACACCTTAGCTAGGTGTTTACGGCCAAACATGAGGAGTTTGGGCCGTAAACTCCTTTTTACCAAGAACTCATGCATATAGCATTAGTTTACCCATTATTCCCTCACTTCTCACTTCTTAACTCAAGAACACCCACCATTCTCTCTCAACTATCATAAGATCATCTTCCAAATCTTCCAAAAATGTAAGTTTTCCTTCACTTGTTTTGTTGTTATAACACCTTATCTAGTGTTTATACATCATTTCATCCATGAATTCTTCATTTTTACTTAGATCTTCAAGTGTTCTTCAAAACACCAAGAACACACACTAGTGTTTTTGGCCCTTAAACACTCTTACAAGCTTCATATAAGTAAGTATACTCCTCCTATCTAGTTGTTTGCTTAGTATACTTGTTAAATCATCGAAGAACACCAAGAAACCCTCAAGAACACATGGGTTTATGGTCAAGCGATATCCTTGAACCGTAAACACCATCTAGTGGTGTTTAAGTGCCACTAACACCTCCTAAGGCTTGGATATTGAACTAGAACCTTGCATGCATGAGCTAGAAACCCCAAATCACGAAATGGTTGGAGTGACCATGAGTTTACGGCCGTAAACTCATGGTTTTATGACCGTAAACTGCCAAGGAGTGGTCCAAGGACCGTAAACTCCAAAGATGGGTCATTTTGTGCCCTAGACCCTTCCTAAGCCTTTGATTCAAACCTAGAACACTTCCTTGAGAGGTATAAGACCTTAAATCACACAATGGTACCATTTACCATGAGTTTACGGCCGTAAACTCATGGCGGTTTTGATCAAAAACCGTAAACTCAAGTATTGGTGCCAAATGGGAAGTAAACTCCAATGTGAGCCCATACTCTCCTTAGATACAACCCTTTAGCACTCCTAACACTTAAAACTGAGTGTTTCCATGTATTAGAGTGTCTTTAATTGATTAATTAGTAATTAAATGACTAATTAGATACATTTATGTATCACTACATGTTACATAGGATCCGTGTGTGTGTTCAAGTCCTCACTTGACGCCTAGCATCCTACCCGACACTTCCATCCAAACCACTCACAACAGGTGAGTTCATACCCCTTAATTAACCTTTTAAATGATTTTAAATGCTTTTATGGGGGGGGGGAATACAAGTTGAACACTTCTAGTTATTGTTTTAATCACAGGTGATTAATAACTAGAATAAACATAAAGATTTACTACTACTTTCAGATTGCTATCAAACTTATGGATTTTCAAGCTTTCAAACCTTTTTATTAAACTCTTTTGATGCTAAAATTGTTTTCAAACTCTTTTGTACTTGTAATATTTTCAAATCCATATCCACACCAGTATACTTATATAAGTAAGACTTGAAGGACTTAGGACTGATAGCTCACCTTATTTCCTGTTCCTTGTTTGGTTGTGGACTTAGGGTATCCTGTTATTTGTCCGAATGTCGTTGAATTCTTAGTTATATATATATCATATATATGTGTGTTGGATATAAAAGCTTTCATATCAGTTCAGTACCTTTGTGTAACAAAGGCATCCAAACAACCTTACTATTTTACTATTATAGGTATAGTTAAGGGATTACTACCCACTACTACTATTACAACGACCCATACTAGAGTCAATACATTTATGAGCCACTACAAAAGTACTACATTGAGTAACAGAACATACTATACACTGTACAAGAGAACATACTATACACAATACAAGAGAACATAGTATACACTATACAAACATTAAATAGTAAAACAGAATGTGACATACTACTTCTCGATACGACACCTCATTGTGCTATCACCGTGTAACCAGAGTCTCCTGGAGGGAGAGCGGGCATTATGTGTATAGATCTATACGGGACAGACACTCCCACATCCCAACTGCTAGCTACAGTCCGAGCCGACCAGACCCAAGGGTGACAAAATGTCACCATACTTCGTGTGACCTGGAGGGTCGTCAGTTATTCAGTCTTCGATCAGCATGGTTACATACGAGTTCACATTCAAACCTTAAATTAACTAAACAAGGATTTAAGGCAAAACTAGACTTTTCGAGGCGTAGTATTCACTTAACACCGCCTGGAGTCTACATATTTCTATTTTGGACTTTTTGAGGCGTATTGTTCATTCAGTACCACCTGGAGTCTACATATTTCTACTTTGGACTTTTCGAGGCGTATTGTTCATTCAGTACCACCTGGAGTCTACATATTACTACTTTAGACTTTTCGAGGCGTGCTGTGCATTCAGTACCACCTGGAGTCTGTATTTCATTACTTTGTGACTTTGTCACCTACTCGTTTAAGAAAACTACATTTTATACTAATAGTTTTCACTGGGGAAAACCCCTATATTTACAAAAGGACAATTATACAAACACTCGGGTCTTAGTAGAAGACTACCTTTTTACTGGAAAACATAGGGCTTTCTAGGGAGTATACTATTTACAAAACATTTGAAATCGATTACTACACTACATTGTTATTAACATTTTATACAAGCAATGACACTAAATACTTATGAACTTTACCAGCTTTATGCTGATACTCGTTTTCAAAATAACTTGTATTCTCAGGTCATCAGTAGACAG